CATGAATTGTGAAAAGTTGCTATGCAGATTAGAATACCGTGCTATCTATGCACTGTTTCCTTCTCAATTCTGAAGGTTGTCACAGACTTCTTTGATCTACTGAATTTGGTCTTTTCGCCGTAGCTCCCTCATCGGAAAAACTAATTCGGATATGTTGCTGAACTCTCTTTCTTAGCCTTTTCGTTTTCTCACATCACTAATGGCACCTTTTACCAGTTTACTGTTACAAGTATTAATGAAAATTCTGCAACTCTCCAATGGCATTTCGAAACTGGCAATTCTCAACATGCCCCGGCCCTCCTCCGCTTTCTCTCCTGTACCACGTAATGACAGGTCTCTTCGACAGTGGTACCTACGACGCACTATTGACGAAGGTTCTCCAAAACATAGTTGGATGACCCTAACCAATCGATCCCTTTCTTCGAACTTGTGCTGGAGTTACTACGAATCTTTTCCTGTTCAAAACACGTATATACGAAGAATACCAAAATCGTATGTACTTCATATTCTTGGTATATATATACATATATAATATATAGATGTATATATGTATAAACACACATACACACAAACACACACACATGTACACATTCAGCATGCGCACATACACATGCATACATCCTGGCACGCAGTGTGGGTGGAGAAAGGAGGACGGTCGTCGTCATCATCAAAACATGTTTTTGTAATTTAAAGTATGAAGCACTTTTGAGGCAGCGCCACACATATGTTAGTGTTATCGGCGCAGGAATTCATCAGTCCGAGATGGCGCAGCGAGAAGAGAGCTAACTGTACTCCTAATGGTGCGGCTGCTGTTGCCGTGCTGATTCCTTCTCCTAAATTTCGCAGTATTTGTTTATGTGGTATTTGAAGAGTGCAGGATCGTTTCAAATTTTTTGCTTGTAAGCAGCAATTCAGAGAAGTGTTCTTCCGGGCGCAGGTCTCGAAACTCAAGATTTTAGATTTACGTGATACAGACTGTTATGGCAACACATCAGCCAAAATTTCATAGCAGTCTTAGCGACATTACCTTACAGTTATCAAAGACAGGAACTTTTGTTTTTACTTTCATTAAGAAATCGCATAGCCTGCTTCTGGAATAAGACCGACACACTTTGTAACTGTTCTTGTCATATTACTTACAGTGCAGCAGCGTGAACAACTCCATGCCCATGCCGCTGTGCCTTAAAGCGAAAAGCTGATTAAACAGGGGCGAAGTACACACCATTATTTCGGTAGACCGTAATTCCAGCGACTGCTTAGTTCGTGATTCATTTGCATGACTTTAACCACAAGAGGCCAAAATTTTTGTGAAATTCTTTCTCTCACAACGTATATTGTGGAAACTTTTTTGAATGCAATGCAATTTTCTGGTACGGCGTCTTTTACCTGTGGAAATAAGATGTCTCTAGCTAGGTCGACCATTTTCGTTATGCGGTTTTGCATCTTAATGCAACTGTAAGAAAGCATTATGGCAAGAGGTTGTCTCTGTGTGTATTTATAATATATGTGTCTATAAATGTGTGTGTATGTTCGCATTTTGTCACCCACTTTCAACTCAACATAAGCTGAAACTTTTTTAACATGTTCCCACTCCATGCGTCTCCCGTTTTAATATTATTATTTACATACGGACGCCTAAAAGAAAATGTAAATTTTTTGGTGGGTAAGCGATTTCAGGAACCAGACTTGCATGCTGAGCGCATTCACACTACTTAGTCCTACCCTGGCATTCGCTGTGGATATCAGGCACATACTTGCACGCCTCATTCATCATTTTGAGTGGGAATTGTCTCAGTAATAGCTTTCCCTTACAGTAATGCTACTGTCCTTGTTTACTGTTTAGTGAACTCCGAAAAGCAGGTTCCAAAAGGACCGAAAACAGTTAATGAAGGAAGTAGGTCCCATTAAAAACAGTTCATGTTTTATGAAACATGAGCCTGTATTTGTAGTCGCACATGTTAGGTATTTGGTAATGTCAGTTCCCATTCTTGCGAATTAAATGCAAAAAAGCAAATCCTATTATTGCAGTTTTAGCACCTCAAATTCTTCGTATCCATGTGTATTATAAAATATTATGTCATCTAAGTAGCGCGTAGGATCGTCATGTTCAGACGTGAAAATTGAACCTGTTGGGTGGGACACGCAAAATCCTCTGAAGCCGTTCGACATCATCTCACATCAGTCATTTAGCTTTCCTTGTGACTTTTCCATTTCTTTCGTAAAATCATTATTTTTATCATTACAGCAAATCTTCCTAGTTTATCATTCCGTCAAAAATTAAGCAAAATTCCCTCAATATTCGTTTTTTGGAGAGGTGGAGGCACTCTGAAGTAACCAGATTGGTAGAAATTGGCTAATAGCAACCAACCACTGGCAAGGGTCTTGATAGCGCTCTCTATTAAGGGTTACTTGTAATCAAATTCATGGTGATTCTGACTCTCTAACAAACGGCGGTAACAATTTACCGTTGAAAGGGGTAAATGAATCGTAGATGGACTCGCTGTTTTATTGGCGAGGTCGAACCTTAGACTGTTTTAAGCACGGAAAATAGTAATTGGAACTGTGTCATTTCCGTCAGATATTTCGCATATTTTTAAAGCGATTTTTGCTTTTTAAAGATTATTCAGAAATAGTTTATACGCATGAGATAGACTGTTTAGAAAATTTCCGAGTCAGCAAGAATGCACGCTGTTGAGGTCTTTGGAT